TCAACGAGGCCGCTAGCAATCTATGAACGATTATGTCCGGATATCGACGAATAGGCGAGGTGAAGTGAGTGTAGCTGAAAAAGAAGCAATAATGTTGTTGAGTAACTATAGAAACCCGTTTCTATGGCAGAAATTCAGAAGATGAGCACTTACAAAGGCACATTCAAAGCGTAGTGATGATATTTCGTTTGACTGTCAACTGAACCAGTACAGAAGTATCGAGCAAGTTCCATAGCTTTCATCAGGATCAAGGAGAGCACCTTCATGAGAAAGATTCACATTACGAAGCTCACAAGGGCGCGTGCGCTCTGCGACACCACGGATCAGATAATCGGAGATCCCACGAAAAATGTCCGAGCACGTATTGATTGATTTCCTTTTTCAGGATTTTTAGGATTTCGAGGATAGATAGAGAAGGACGACTGTCGTATGTATTCCCAGCACCATTCCCTACCCTGCTGAGAGGTTATGCTGTCGTCTCCCCTCCACGAAACTACCTGGCTCGGTGAGCAAGGTAATTTTATGAATGAGAAGAACGGAACTCTGAGCTTGCACGCAGGCGCATTTATATTAATGGAGAACATGGAACCCTGAGGCGACCAGCAGCGGTCAGGCCCCATATTCTCTTCCAGTTACAGTTTTTACTACCTGCTGAGGGCGAATTTGGTGTGACGAGCGACGCGGAACGCGCTTGTACTGCACATAGGCCATCTTAGATGCTGCTACCGCCTAGAGGACTAATTTCGAGTGACAACCCTAACTGAAATAAATTCAAAGATACCTGGTTCGTAACTCGAGTGCTGGGAGAGCTCGACAATCTAGTTCTGCAAAATGAGCCCAATGCATCGACTATGCTCGTCGCTCGGATGCACTGAAGTTCCCATTCGATAGGGCCGCAAAAAACAAGTGTATTGCCACGTGGCCTTCAGCCCTTGCAAGAATCAACGTTGGCCGCATCACTGAGGCCATGAAGGGTAACGCACGCTACATCGCCACCACACCAAAAAAAAACACGAGCTTTAGGCCGCTTCTCCGAACCGGGCTCGTTTTCACGCGCCATATCACGCCCGAGTCATGTTTGTCGCAATCATTGCCCGATGAAGGCGCCCCGCGCGACCCAACTGTCCTCCGGGGCTGTTACTCCTCAGCGCAACTCTCTCCGCTCACGGCGCTCCCATGAATAAACCGTGGCACGTCTGCTACGGGGGTGTCGAACACGCGGGGCAGCGGCTCTCGCTGCGACGGCGCGCCATTACCTTCCTCACTCGGCTCTTGGAGACAATTCGTCAACTTCTTTCTAATACTTCTCGAAAAAAGTCGTGAGATTATCGATCCATCGACCAACAATCAGACCTTTTACTACAATCATCATTTCGCTGTTATACCTTCCACTTCCGAGATATCCTTGATAACTCCATACAAAACAACTCGAATGACAATCCACTCACCGCATCTCGTAGCACTTTAGTTTTCGGCGGAGGATGACATCGTAAAAGCGCTGTCTTCCTGTAGTGCCTTTCTATTTTCCTGGCTACAGCCATATTCGCGAGTAACATGAACTCCTCTACAAGACGATTGGAGTCCTTAGCCTACAACGAAAGGAGCATAGGTTAATTTAAACTTTATCTGGAAGTACCTGATACCACGTACATAACATGCTACTCTCATGCTAGCACGTAACAGATAGCAAGATTACCCGTCATCGTCAAAAAATGAAAAAAAAATTAAAACCGTTCTCGCCACTTCCAAAATGTGTCCCATTTGGCCGCACATTTCTGAATCCTCGTGTCCCGATGTCCAAACCCGCCACGCGACACGCAATAGTCACGCGACCGCCCCAAGATAACTGCTAACCGCGCAGCCTCCCTCCTACCACTCTTTTTTCTTCCTCCTTCCTTTTCTTGTCTCTTACCTCTTCCTTATTTCCCTTTCTTCAAATGGTCGGCCAGTACACGCTATGAGAAAATATATCTGGATCCTCGCAGCAAGAGAATATCGGGTTGACAGAGCCCTGTAACCGCCACGTGACACCCGCTGCTCACCTGCACCCTCTCAACGAGGTATTGCTCAATAATTTGTTTGAAAGATTCCTTTCGAGGTGACTCCAAATATTACATGAGGAATCACCTGGGAAAAAATAGCAAATAGCTCAGTCAACCGACAGAGTACTATTTCGGTGACAGGACACAGACATGAGGCTCACATAACGTGGAACGTCGGGGTATCAAGTGAGGAGGTAGGGGGGAGAGGGAAGAGAAGGTATAGACCAAGCAATCACAGGTGTCTTGTCACGCCTTTTTGAGAGCAAAAGTAGCACAATTCTTCGGTTGCAGACCTGCGGCCGAAAAGCATACGAA